CCCCACGCTGTGGACCCTCCCCTGTGACATGGTGCTCCACAATCTGAATTGTCTCATGGATATCTTCCAGGTGCCCTTTCTAACGGCATGGAGGCATTATTTGTATGGATTGATGCTGCACACTCCATTCTGCCGTGCGTTCACCCGCCACCCAGACATGCGTAATGTTTCGCACCCAGTGGTGGAGATCCCCTGTGGAGGACCCTCTACGAAGGTGTCCTCCCCTCTTACATCGGGGATCTGGGTTGGAGAGTGCTGCATGTGGTGTTCCCGTGCAACTGACCACTGAGCAACTTTACTGGGTGCCTGTCAAGATGCACATCCTGTGGCCTAGAGGAGACGGTCTTCCACTTACGTGTCGAGTGCGTTCGTCTGCAACCCTTTTTTAGTTTCTTGAAGGGGCTGTTGTTAAAAGTTTGGTTGCACTTCAGCCCCACACTCCTGACCTACGGGCATGCGGTTCAGGGAGAGGGGGACAACCCACAAGCCTTCTCATGGCTTTGCTCCCGGGCCGGGCCAAGATGGCCATCAACAGGTCCAGGCAGTGGGCCGAAGAGGCGCTCGTTGTTCCTGACTGTCTGCCCCTCTTTCGCGGTTACATCCATGCTCGGTTGTTCCTGGAGAGGGAGCACATGATGCCCACCAGCACAGTCAAGGCCTTTCGAGACCAATGGGCGCTGCGGGGGCTGGTGTGCATTATCAGCCTGGATAATGATATTGATTTACTTAATTATCTCCAATATAAGTTTCCACTTTGCCTTTCGAGTTTGCATTTATTTTCAGTTTGGTTCCTTGGGAAGAGGGCAGTCTTTATTTCCCTTTGTTCCGATTTTGGACACCTTGGAAGAGCTAAAGGGCCTTCTGTTTTAGCCCCGTACTGTCCCTGTCACAGATACACCCGATGGGGATCGGTGTGAGGGGAGTTTTAGCTCTAGCTGAAATGAGCAGGGGAACTTTCTCTGGATTTTAAACCATTGTTGTTCCTGTCCCAGGAGTGTTCAATAGGGATGGAGTGAAGAAGATTCATTTATTTAGTTGGTTATTTGTTTCTTTGATTATTTGTTTTGCTTACTTTGCTTTTACTTGAGTTTATTTTGATTTTGGCTTCCTGTGGTCCCTGCCCAAAAGAGATTGGGGGGGCAGTGTTGGGAGGGAGGGGTCTGTGTTTTTTATCCTGTTTATACCTTCCATTTAAAAGAATGGAGGGTTGCTTTTCAGACTAGAGGCCTGTGACCATTGTTGTGCCACAACGATTAGTGTTTTCTGTCATTTATATAAATGATTTGGATGTGAACATAGAACATACAATTAGTACATTTTCACATGACACCAAAATTGGTGTTGAAGAAGGCTACCTCGGAGTACAACAGGGCTTTGATCAGATGGGCTGATTGGCTGAAGAGTGGCAGGTAGAGTTTTGTTTTGATAAATGTGAGGTGCTGCATTTCGGAAAGGTAAATCAAGGCAGGACTTATACACTGAATGGGGTAACACAGCGTGGAGCTGGAGGAACACAGCAGGTCAGGCAGCATCAGAGGAACAGGAAAGTTGACGTTTGGGGTCAGGACCCTTCTTCAGAAAATGGGTCCTGACCTGAAACATCAACTTTCCTGCTCCTCTGATGCTGCCTGGCCTGCTGTGTTCCTCCAGCTCCACACTGTGTTATCTCTGACTCCAGCATCGGCAGTTCTTGCTATCTCTGAGAAGGTTCTGGGGGTGTTGTTGAGCAAAGAGACCTTGGAGTGCAGATTCATAGTTCCTTGAAAGTGGAATTGTAGGTAGACAGGTTAGTAAAGAAGGCATTTGGAATGCTTTCCTTTATTAATCAGTACATCGAGTGTAGGTGTAAGGAGGTCATGTTGGTCGAGGACGTTGGTTAAGGCACCGTTGGAATACTGTGCGCAATTCTGGTCTCCCTGCTATAGGAAGAATATTGTGAAACTTGAAAGGGTTCAAAAAAGATTTGCAAAGATGTTCCCAGGGTTGGAGGATTTGAGCCATTGGGAGAGGCTGAATAGACTGTCACTATTTTCCCTGGACCATTGGAGGCTGAGGGGTGACCTTATAAAAGTTTATGAAATTGTGAAGGGCATGGATAGGGTGAATAGCCAAGGTCTGTTCCCCGGTGTAGCAGAATCCAAAATTAGAGGCCACAGGGGAAACATTTAAAAGGGACTCAAGGTTCAGATTTTTCATGCAGAGGGTGGTGCGTGTATGGAATGAGCTGCTAGAAGAAGTGGTGGAGGCTGGTACAATTACAACGTTTAAAAGGCATCTGGATGAGTACATGAATAGGAAGGATTTAGAGGGATATGGGTCAAATGCTGGCAACTTGGACTAGACTAATTTTTGATATCTGGCCGGCATGGACAAGTTTGACCCAAGGCTGTGTTTCTGTGCTGTACATCTCTATGACTCGCTGAGAGTTCAAATCCTGTCATGATAGATGCTGAAATTTGAGTTCAGTAAATATCGGGAATTAAAAGCTAATGTAATGATAACCAATGCAGTTCAGCAATTGGTTGGATGTAATTTTAAAAAAAAGCTCACTAATGCCCTTGAGAGAAGGGAAAGGAACTCTTTTGTCCTTTCCTAGTTTAACCTTCATGTGACTCCATGTCTACAGAATTGTGGTTGACTGTTAGTTGCTCACCAGAAATGCTAGCATGGTGTTAACTAACTCCCCCTTGGAGTTCTCACCATTGACTCTGAATCCCACATCGTCTCAAGGCAAGAGTTCAAATATAGACAAGGAAACCGCCTACTGATTACCAGGCCCAGTTCCCCAACTTTAGCTGATGAAGTCATATGTTACATAGCTCCATGTTGAGCTACACTTGGAGGAAGAACAGAGGGTGGCTAGAGCGGAGAATGTATACCCGGTGGGAGACTTCAACATCCATCACCAAGATTCGCTTACAGCACTTATGAACTGAACTGACTAAGTCCTAAAAGACATAGCTGCTAGACTGTGTCTGTAGGATGTAGTGAGGCAACCAACAAGAGGGAAAAATCTACTTGAAATAATCCCCACCAATTTACCTTTTTGCGATGTATCCATGCAAGATTATGTTGGTAGGAGAAACTTCCACACGGTTATTGTGGCATCAAAGTCTCATTTTCACCTTGAGCATATCACCCGTCATGTTGTGTGGCACTCCTGCTGTGCTAAATTGGACAAACTTTGAACAAAACCTAATGACTCAGAACTGGACATCCATGAGGTGCTGATGGCCATCAGCATCTACAGAACTAAGTTTAACCACCATTTTCACAAAAGGCATGGAGAGAACAACCAAACAATTTTTTTAGTGTGATGCTGGTTACAGGGTAAACTTTAGCCAAAAGAGTATACCATTTTTTTTATAATCGGATATTTAACATCTACCTGAGATGGCTGAAGGTTGGCTTCCAATCCAAAAGACAGGATCTTGGCAGCACAGCATTTCCTCAGTACTGCCTTGAAATGTCAACTCAGTTGCATTTAAGTCTCTAGAGTGGAATTTGAGCCCATAATTTTATCTACTGTATATACTTGAATAGAAGTTGATCTCATGTAAAAGTTGACCTCTTATTTTTGGTCAAAAAATCTGGAATTTTCCATATATCTTATTTAAAAGTCGACCCTGGTTCTTCACAAATTCTTAACTAGCTGAGCACGCACCATGGTCAGCATGGACTAGTTTGGGGCCAAAGGGCCTGTTTCCATGCTGTATTACTCTATGACTCTCTGACTCTAAATAACAGATCAGCATTTGTGAGACAAGGTATTATTCTGTATATGAATGTTACCATGAGGAAATGAATCTTTTTCATGCTGTTATGTGTTTTGAAATTTCTTCATAATTTTGTGTAAAAATGGCCTCCAGAAAAAACAAAAAATATAGTGCAACGTTTAAGCTGAAAGTTATTGAAGTTGCAGAGAAGACAAATGACTCTGTAGCAGCAAGAGAATTTTGTGTTTCGGAGAAACTTGAGAGACTGGAGAAAGATATCGAACCAACTTCAGACAGTGCCAAAACGAAAAGTGTGCCAACCGAGGTAAACCTGGCAAGTGGCCGCAAATAGAGAAAACATTTGCTCAGTGGCTACTTGAAAATTGTCAAAATGGAAGCTGTTAGTTGTGAAACCATCCGAATCCATGCATGAAATGAGTCAAAGGAGGATGGAATTTTAGATTTTAAGGCAAGTGCTAGATGGTACACAAGGTTCATGAGAAGGCATGACTTAGTACTTCGGCGGAGAAGATTGCACAAAAGCTGCCTGCTGAACTAGAAGTTAAGATATTAGAGTAATTATCGTAATTCATTGTGTTTTTTTCTTTATTTGTTTAGAGATTAATTGGGCTTCTGCTAATAATACAGTAGTTTGGACTGGGGAATTTCAGCCCCGCAAAAGTAGTATTCATGTAATGGTCAACCCCATAAATTTAACCTTAAAAAGGCTAAAAAATTCAACTTTTACACGAGTATATACGGTATTGCTTTACTTGCGGTGAGCACCTAGTTCTGTGTAGTGCATACCTACAGAAATACAGAGAAGCGTAGGATCCCAATGTAGTAGAGAATCAAAATTGCATCCATTCACTGTGTGATGCTGTGAGCTAATGTTTCATTGTGGGATAGCTTTTATTCAATCGCATTAAACATTTTTTGACAGCGGCAATGTGATGGCTGACTGTATTTAGGGGCATATTAGATGATGCCATTCATATTTGAAGAAGTACAATTGTGACTTAATCAATAAAAGTTTATCAACAGATTATTTGCAGTTTAATCATTGTGGAGGATTGTGAACAAAATCTGCTTCTTGTATATTGGATTATTCTCTTTCCCACGCATCTGACTTAATGAAAAGCAAATACAAAATTTAACACTCCAAATATACCACTAGAGCATAATTGAAAAAGATAAAGGAACTGTTGATAATATTTGGACCTGGCAAGTTGTGTGTACAGAATTGCAGAGAATTCTACAACTGATGGTGTTTATCTTTGACAGATGCTGCTCTTATGTCGGTAGACGTGGTAACGGTCCTCAGGCTATATCCATAGGCAAAAACTGTGATAAGTTTGGGATTGTAGTTCATGAACTGGGCCATGTAATTGGATTTTGGCATGAACACACAAGACCAGATCGAGATGATCATGTGACCATCATTAGAGAAAACATCCAGCCTGGTAAGGTTCCACAAGCCGAAGAACTTTTGTGTTCAGTTCTTGTTCATGTAATTGTAATTCACCAATAATTGACTGTCTATTTTGTATGGCAGATAAAAATGCTACTTGTCAGATGAAAATAATAAGTAAGTTTACAGCAGTTCTGATGTGATTGCGTATAGGGTGAAAAGAATACAAACCTTTAGTTCAATTTAGGATCTGTGAGTTACCTGATCTAAAGATGTTGGGAAAAAATGTTTATGCATTTTTTTTTAAGGAAAGAAAGTTTAATTTTTCATCCTACCTGAGTGGTGCTTTAAAGCTGGACAAAGAGGTTTTTGGTAGTGGTTTTGGAGTAGGATGCCTGCTGATCCTTTTGGTGCTAGAGATGGGATTCCATTACATTTCAGGTAAAAAGGTTGAGGGGATAAAATGCAAAGTTTAAAATAAATGTCGATGTTTACTAATCAACCAGTTCAGGGATTTTATTATACATCAGGAAGGCCAGGTGGTCGATACAGCAAATTGGGTAATATTATACAGAAACATGCACATGCAAGCGGATTTTCAGTTGCTTAAAGATATTGTGGACATGGCATCCATCGATTGTTTCATACCGCACCCATTGTGCACATCATGCCAGTAAGTCATGTCTGTTTAATCTTACATATTTGAAATTCAAATGATCACTTTTGTTGCTGTGTTTAGCCTTCTTTAGAGATGTGCTCAGTGATTTTATTTTAAAAGAAAAATTTCTAACATTTTTTCTGTTGCCTCAGTCTGACCCATGTTTTTAATTCTTCATCAACCTGATGAAAAATTGTTTTTCAACAAATGTCATAGATGTGTGAACAAGTTTTCTTTTTCACTGCAGTGTCAAGCACATGACAGACTCCCAGACCACTCAACTTTAGTAGTAAGATGATTGAGCAGGTCACATATGTACTACTTCACTATATATGTAATCTTATTTTACTTGTGTGACAAAGTACGCAATATGTAATGATGACTAGTGAAAGAACAGTGGGTGTGGACATGCAAACTTTCTTTTTTAATCTTGCATGTAACGATCTGAAGTGCATTGCCTGAAAGGTTGGTAGAATCAGTACATAGAACATAATGACTTTCAAAAGAAAAGTGAATAAATATCTGAAGAGGAAAAGGTTTCAGTGCTAAGGGGAAAGAGCAGGGACTAATTGAATCATTCATTTAAAGAAGCAGCAAAGGTACATTGGCTGAATCGCCATTGGTCCTCTGTCATTCTATGATTTTCAGATCCTTAATCTACAGTGCAACATTTGCTGTCAAATTAATACTTGGTTCTTTCAAACATACAGCTGTCCTCTGATAAAATAATGCAAACTATAAATGCTAATCTCTTGCCAGTAACACCAAGAGAGTTATCTGTTCCAAATGTCCAGGACAATTTTTTTTTAATTACAGTTCAAACTTGACTAAAATCTGTGTGGAAAATAGACAAAGAGCAAAACTTGTGTGTTTGTATCTATATATTAAAATGCACTTTATAAGCATGAAATATTACTGATCTAATTGTCACCTGGATATTACTTTAACCAGAATATTTAAGAATGATTCACAATTCATGATTTCTTCTGAAGTGTTGGTTGAATTTTTAAAATGCCAAAGTCCATTAACTCCTGTATGTTGGTGTCTTATTTGACTCGTGACTAATTTGGAAATGGCAGAGAAGTTTCTAGATTTAGTTTTCAGTTAGAACAATTCATAGTTAGTTGTCTAGCCCAGCTTTCTCCCTGGCATTAATCTGGTGAACCTCCAATGTAACATGCTGTGGTTTGAATATTCTTTCTTTAACGGATAGTTGAAAACTGCTCGCAATACTCAAAATTGACTTGACATTTTCTTGACCACAGTTCCTGAATGGTTATTGTTTTAATATCAGATAAGTAGTTATGCTCATTTTCAAACTTGTCATTTGTTTCTACAATGGATTTGATATACTGAGTTTCAAAATTTTTATTTCGTAATGTTTTGCTGCAAGATTGTAGTCTTTATTTTCTTTATTTTGATCTGCAACAACTGATATGTAAAAATTAGACCCTCTATAATTTCTGCAGTTGTTAATGTGAATAAATTAAAGGCACCTTTTTTTAAGGAAGGATTTTATGGAAGAGCATACAGAAATGATTACTGAGGCAAATCAAGCAAGCATGGTAGACTGGGTTAGTGAGGTTAGATCACATTGGGATCCAGGGGAGCTAGCCAATTGGATACAAAGCTGCCTTGAAGGCAGGGGACAGATGGTGGTTGTAGAGGTTTACTTTTCAGACTAGAGGCATGTGATCAGTGGTGTGCCACAAGGATCAGTGCTGGGTCCACTGCATTTTGTCATTTATATAGGAATGATGCTGTGAAATTTGAAAAGGTTCAGAACAGATTTACAAGGATGTTGCCAGGTTTGGAATGTTTGAGCTATAGGGAGAGGCTGAATAGGCTGGGGCTATTTTCCCTGGAGCATCGGAGGCTTGAGGGGTGACCTTAGAGAGGTTCGTAAAATCATGAGGTAAACGGTAAATAGACAAGGTCTTTTGTCCGGGGTGGGGCAGTCCAAAACTAGAGGGTATTGGTTTAAGGTGAGAAGGGAAAGATATAAAAAGGATCTGAGAAGACAACTTTTTCATGTAGAGGGTGGTGCGTATATGGAATGAGTTGCCAGAGGAAGTGGTGGAGGCTGGCACAATTACAACATTTAAAAAGTATCTGGATGGGTATATGAATAGGAAGGGTTTAGATGGATATGGGCCAAATGCTGGCAAGTGGGACTGGATTAGTTTAGGATATCTGGTCGGCATGGATGAGTTGGACCGAAAGGTCTGTTTCCGTGCTGTATATCTGACTCTGTGACTCTATAACCTCTAGAGTAGGTGGGGCTTGAATCTGGGTTTCCTGACTTGAGGTTGGGACACTGCCACTGTGTACAAGAGCCTTTAAAATGAATGTAAATGTTAATGTACAAGATGTTTATCACTTGCTCTTTTTTTCACAGAGGCTCTGATTGATCAGCTATGAAAAGTATGAGTGACTGAGAATATTTTACAAGTGGCTCTCAGTTCAAAGTTGGTTTAGGAAGTGTTGATTATATGGGTTTGTGATCACAGATGCCTAATATAGACGGTTAATGACATGTAGCAATTTTCTGTTTGTTTGTTTGTTAAGAAGCAGTAGCTTAGATATGAAGCATCAGTTAATTTGGCAAAGTATATAGCCATGACAGATAAGAATGCTTCACTGATCCTGAACCTGCCTTGTAGAATGAAGAAGAGTTGGCCAGTGGTTTTGAAGTTGTATCTTTTACTTTGTTCTTCCCTTGCAATAATATAGTTCCCTCCTGCACTATGTATGGAACCAGGATTGATCTCCTGGCCTGATGGTAATGGTAGAGTGGATTTATGCCTGGCATGAGGTTGTATATTGTGTTGGTGTTTAATTCTGCTGCTGCTGATGGCCTGCAGCCCTTCGTAGATGCCTAGTCTTGAGTTGCTAGATGTGTTTAAAAACAGTTCCATATAGCACGGTGATAGTGCCACGCAACAGGGTGTAAGGTATTCTCAATGTGAAGGCAGGACTTATTTCCACAAGGAGTGTGTGGTGGTTGCTCTTAACAATACTGTTGTGGACAGATGCAACTGCGGCAAGCAGATTGGTGAGGATGAGGTCCAGTATGTTTTTCCCTCTTATTTGTTTCCTCAGCACCTACAGACCTAGTCTAGCAGCAAAATGTCCTTCACTAGTGCTGGTGTCAAGTCACCACGCCTTGTGCCCTTCCGCCCCCTTCCATGTTACATTCTGTGATTTTGTCACCTTTGGTGTTTCATCCAACCACTCTTCAAATGGAAGAGTACGAAATCATCAGCTGATGGAAGATAGTATGTGGTAATCAGCAAGAGGTTTCCTTGACAACGTTTGATCTGATGCCATGAAATTTCATGGTGTCCAGAGATGCTGTTGAGGACTCCCAGAACAGCTCCCTCCTGACTGTATACATATACTGATTGTCTTGGTGGTTTAATTGGCTATTTAAACATTTTGGATAGCTTGTGGAATAGCGGGTCTTCTTTATCTGTTTAATCTTCCCAAATTAAATCATAGCAGTGTAAAGATTGGTTCCAGTTCTATTTTTCATCACCTAACTTACAGGAGTGAAGCAAAAGGAGATGCTTTTTAGAACACATTTATTTAGTCTGTAAATGTGATCGTGCTTCTTGTCACCCATCACCATTTATTCTGTCTCGCCCAACCCCCAATTCTTGCTTTGCCCTAGACTTCTTACATTGTTCTAGTAAGCTCACGCTTAGAAACAGCACTTAATTGTTGAATAGGTACTTTGCAGTCAGCTGGACTCAACACTGAGTTAACGACTTTCAGAAAGCAACCTGTGCTCCCAGTTTTGGACAGCAACTTATATTAATGATTCCATTGTTACCATTTACTCCTCCACCAAACCCATCTTTTTTGTTTCTTTATTTACCTTGCATTATTATCCATTTTCGTATTTGAAGTTTGCCTTCCTGTACCTATTAGAGATCTTCCCTTTTGTTCTTTCTCACACATCTAATCTTCTTTCCATTTCTTTGTATTTACCTAATGCTTGTTACATTTCTGTATTTCAAAATCAGATAAAAGGTCATCAAACAAAAATGTTAAAGTCACGTGAAATTTAATACTCCCCCTAAGATAGTTTGGGAGATGGATGGGAACCTGTAATGGGGTGGGTAGTTGTAAGGTGGAGGCCTGTCCTCTCGGTTAAAGCCTGGGTAAGAGTGTTGAGGATAGCCTCCTGCTGGGAGGTCATTTGAAACCCTTACATTATTGTTTGAGGGCCTTGCTGCCCACTCTGATTTTTTTAAACCTGCGCCTGGGAATGGCTGTGTTAGGTAGATCAAGTGCGCTGAGATCCTGGATGGGTGTTTGTGGCTACTTGCAAGTAACCAATCCTTTTTGGTAACCTGTGGCCAATGGAAGGACCCACAGAGACAAGAGGG